GCAAATTAGAAGCATCTTTTGGCTATTGTTTTGAGTGCTTATGATTGGATAAGAGCTTTTAATACAAAAGAAACTTTGTTTCAAAATAGAGTTTATCCACATTTTATTTCAAAAATGTGTTACCCACAGATGGATACATAATCAGTGTGAAAACCAAGACATTCGTACATGGGGAACTTGCTATGCCGCTGAACAATAGAGAGTTCCCTAGTTCTTTAGCGCATTGTTACTTAAAGTTCATATCTTTCTCCCATTGCTCAAACCTTTATGAAACTTTTCAAAATTAAAGAAATCTCCTAAAAAGAATTACATAAGGAGTTTTAAAATTGTCCGAACGAGTGCTCTATCATGTGATTCCGAATTTTCAAGATTTACTTAAAAATGAGGTATACAATTTAAAAGATAAACTAATTCAAATTATTGATTTTTGGTGTTATTTTGGATTTTCTTTATATTGTCGCATTGAGCGTTTGGCCCTTCCTTTCTGATGAAGTTGCATTAGGTTGTACTCAATTCAGGTGTTCTTTTGGTTGAGTGTTAATGGGAGATCAGTTTAGAGGTTTTAAAAATTATTGTGGTTGCGAAGGTTTGCCATCCTTGGGTATCATTCTAGTCCATGCCTCAGATATCCAATCAGGTAGTACCTGGACAAGTGGTTCAATAAACATATTATTGCTGTAGATATTGAATTGTGGGTTAATGACATGAGTTTCAGACAATAGCTTGTTTTTCTTGTTTTTCCGATTCTTTTTTTTCCTAAAGCATTTGTTGACCATCCCTTCAGTCACCATTACTGATGTGCTCTGTTGTTTTGGTTGTACAAATGTCAGAGCTTCACATACTTCTTTCACCCAGTCTGTGCTATCCAAATTTTCTTCTGCCATATTGGTATCAACAATTCCTCAAAGTTTTCTATCTTAACTGAGATGTTCACCCTGCTTGTCGTTTTGTCAAAGTCTTTGAACTTTGTGATAGGAATTATGTCGGTCTTTTTGTTAGTCTCTCATTGTTCTTTATTCTTCCTATTTCTTTTGTGATTCGCGAGTATTGCCTTTTTAGTTTTGTGATCTTTTCATCAAKGATCCAAAGTCATCTWGGAGATTTTGTGTGGCTTTTTTTCCAAAGCTTGAATATTGTCAATCCGAAATAAGGGATCTTAGAGAATTGCAAGGACAATGATTCTTTTTATGTTACCAAGGGAATTCCTCGAATTTCCTCAAGATTTAATTATCCTAAAAATCCATGTTAAATATTTTAGTGATAAAAGAACAACACATCAGTTGCCTTTTGTGGTTTATTTTGATCATTAATAGTAGTTCGATCTGGAGACGTAACGACAACTGTTGAACTATTGTTTTTATGGACAATTAGTTTTGCTTCTTATTTTGTTTTGTTTTATTTTTCTAACCTCATCGGTTTGATCAACATTATTTTGACAAAGAGTCAACTGTGGTTTTGCAATAGGAGAAGTCAATATTTTGTACCTTGATCCTCTATATTTTCGCTACGATTAGTTTTAAGTCTTGTTATTTAGGGACATTTGGTGAACTGAAGCAAATCAAAACAAAAGAAGCGTGTCACTCCTCGATCGAMCTGATGTGTTGTTCTTTAACTAATAAACCGGTGTAAAAAGTGTCATTATCCTCATCACGTTTTCGAGTCCACCTGGGAGCTGGATTCATCTTCTTCAAGTTGTTTTTCTAAAATCCTTAATAAGCTGYTTAAAGTTGTTAAGCATAACCCACGCGTGGAAATAATGATCATAGTCAAACTTATCCTTTTCAATCTCTTCCCTGATTTGCTCGAGAGTTACAATCTTCTTTAGCAAGAATCTCAAGAAATAAATGATTCCCGAAAGTGTCACTAAAACATTTTGTTGTATATATACAAATTGAAATGACATGAGGTCACTGACTCCGACTCCAACTGTTCTTAAAATAAATATGACGTTAGCCACTCGTTAGCAACAGTGATGACTCATAACTTCCCTGCTTTGCTCTGATCTCCATCTTGATCCCCATGTACCTCGTTAAGCTATTGTTTCTCGATCTTACAATACCTGCTGCACTATATATCCCCATTGTACCCCATTGAGCTTTTGGTCTTATACTATGGAGATCCCCATATAGATCCGCAATGCACCCCGTGGAGCCATTCTGTTATGGAGATCCACATCAGAACCGCAATGCACTCTGTGGCGCTGTTGTTCTTTCTGTSTCAGAAGCGGCATTTTCATACTACTTACTCTTACAGAAATAATTTGGCTCCTCTGCTGGATTTGACTTAATTTATTATCTTTCCTGGTATGCCAACCAGCTGGTTTGCTTGCAACTCTATCATATATATCTTGTGATGTTTCAAGCACGTAAAGGTATTCCTGGTCATAACCATGGGTAGTTTTGTTTAAGTATTCATGATTGGCTTGCGCTAGCGACGAGTTGCTTACATTTGATTTTGGGTTGATCTTGCTGTTGATTTAGAACTCAGATTTCTTAATGATGCATTTTGTCGGCTGGTTGATTGAAGTCGCTGTTGTTGTCTCATTTCATCAGTAGTCTGTCTTCGAAGTTCTCGAAAAACACACCAATCTCTGGTCTGAATATCGATGGTTCGTCTGTACRGCCTAAATCATTTGCACGTAACCTTGGTGTCACTATTGACTCTCACTTATCGATGACTAAGCACATATATAACATATGTAAACAAGCATATGTGTCTATCAGAAACATCGGTAAAATTAGGAAGTTCCTTGACATGGAATCATGCAAAAAGATTGTTCATGCTTTTATTACATCAAAGATTGACTCCTGTAATAGTCTCTTAGCAGGTCTACCAGATTGTGAGATCTCAAAACTACAGTCGGTACAGAAGCACTGCGGCCAGACTGGTTTCCAGAAATAAGAAGGATGTTCCAATTGGCCCTATACTGCAAGAACTCCACTGGCTATCTGTGAGATATAGAATTGACTTCAAAATACTAACATTGGTCTATAAATCCTTGCACAATCAGGCTCTGTTATATATATGTGAACTTTTGAAGCAATATGCACCCTCTTGCTCTTTGCGATCGAGCACGAAGCACCTGCTAGCCGTTCCTAAAACTAACACTAAGACGTATGGTGACAGATCATTTTCCTCCTACGCTGCAAAGTTATGGAATACCATACCATTACAAATTAAAAAATCGAACTCTTTAGACATTTCTAAAGCCGAAGTTAAGACTTATCTTTTTTGCATAGCCTTTTATTAACATTTTTAAGTCAGCGATCGAAATTTGCCAACCGGCTCTAAACTACGGCCTCTAAGACACCTTTTACTTCATCCTATGGACATTAAACTCCGTACAGCTTTCGATCAATACCTATTCTCACTTGCCACCAATGTTCAGCCTCCAGTGAAAAATATTTTCCGAGATATTTTAGTCAGMAGATCAACATACTCCAGCCTACCGATGCACGGTACTTTCAACTCGTGCACCAACGGATATGCCTCGCTCTGGGGTGCCAATAATTGAGTCGAAGCGGGGAGAGCAAGGATTCTTGAATTCTTGTTATGACGAAGTAGTAAATTTCAGTTTGAATATTTCAGGTTCATAGACAATTAAGAACTCCAACAGAATGCGGACACCGATGTATCGGTGAATTACATTGCGATTTTTATGAAAACTACAACTACATTACATCACGTCCTCTCACCCCAGAGCGAGGCATTGTCTATTTTTATTTACGAGGGGGGRAAAAWWWWAAAAWKGSYTTWAAAATCAATCTTTATTCAYAAAACTGTTTATACTAATTAAAGAAAAAAGAAAAGAAARAKAAAGTCTTGAAAAGTCTCAAGAAATGAAGTAGAAAAAATTTACGGCTTCATGAGGGCTCGAACCGCGAACCCCGCAATTAATACTTTGACACGTGAGATCAACACAACTGTTGAGCCTGGGCCCCCTGTGGGTATKGGTATTGGTATTTAGTATTAGTATTGGTATGTGAAATAAAGATCAATATTATTAGTATTAGTATTACCAGAAAAATAAAGGTCATTATCATTAAAAATAAATATTCTTATTATGATATCTTTATTTTGTCATTTCATAGCTCATTTAGTATTAATCACAGAGCTGGTAATGTGGTTATGGTATATGGTAGTGGTTATGTTAAGCTGGAATTATTTGATTATTTCAGTGTTCTGAAATCCATTTTTGGGTTTTCTCTAATTAGATGTTTTGGTTTTGTCCTTTGTTAGTTCTTTTGGGTATTCCTATTTCTAGTGATATCCTCCCAGGAAGTCGGAAACAATGYTTATTTGAGTAACTTTATCATCCTCGTTACCATCACCATCATCATCATAGATATGATATATCATAGATATGCCATAGATATCATTGCCGTTTGGTTGATCTCATAGTGAACAAGAAAGGAGAAGCTTCATCCAAACTAAAAATCGACCAAAGTTTTCAGGGCTCGTAGACTCTTTGCTATGTCAAAGAGCTTTAACATTCATTTATGTACCAGCCATAACGTCAAAATTTTCACCACTTTTAAACATTACCAGAATGTTTTGCCAGAAGCGTACATCAGAACTATTTTGTTATCATTTAGGAATTTGTTGTTGTAACTTATAGTATTGAATTCCAATGTGGTTTTCTTATTTCATTTAAGGGTTGTAAAGCCTTTGTGGAGCCACTGAAGAAATATTGTCCACATCACTTGGTAAGTGTGGTGCTGTTGGTTCATACTAAGTGACACTAAAATGTATGTTCCGTCAACCTTTAACAGCAGTTTTCTCGTCAACTTCAATTATTGTAGTAGCTCACGGCAAAATGTATATACTTTGCAAAAAATTACAGGATATCGCTATCAACAGGTAAATCAACAGTCCCTATGTCATCTATGCCATCTTTTATTAACTGAGGACGTCAGTTTCACAAAATCAAAGCGTTGTTGACAATAATCTTCAGGCGAAAAGTAGCTAAACGTAGCCTGAACATACGACAGAGTAGGACGAAGGAGTGAAGTTCGATCGTTTCTTCTTTATAAAGTCGATCCACTGCTTTCTTCTGGCTCTGCTTCAGGACGATTGTCACCAAAAAACAGTCTGGGTGATTGATTTGCGACCAGGCCTGCATATGAATTCGCCAAGGTTGTAAGCCAGTGAGCCCGTGCATTTTTGTTAAGCGGTCATATTTGAAAGTGTAAATAAAGGAAAGGGAAAACCCGCAGCCCTCCTTTCACTCAGACAAACAGTACAAGTCGTGTTAAATTTATTTACAAAACTAAACAAAATGATTATAGAATTAAACCTTTAAGAATGGAATGCTCATATCAAACATTTTCCACCTTAAATACACACGTGTTTTTCAGAAGGGAATTTAGTCGAACTTTTTTCACGATGGAATTTTGTTTTGAGTCGTTTCAACATAAACAGTCGCTATCAAGACATTACACGAAAAACCCTAGTCACCGTTCTAGCTCTCGTTGTAAGGTTAAAGCTAGTAAATATGTAACCGGCCTGTTACATAACGTCAACCTGTTGTATCGTCGAGCGCGCTTTGCGGCTTATTGCCAAAAATGCGACGAAGGATGAACTACGACAGTTGTCACTACCAAAAATAACAAACACTTTAACTCTATTGGAATACGTGGAGCTAAGCTGGTCTAGCTCTTTCAGCGATGTTGTCGGATACCTCAAAGCTTAGAGGAAACAAGAGCTAAGAAAAAGTATTTGCAATGGTTCCTCCTAAGATACTTTGGACTTGAACGTCGCTTCAACGACCTTCTGAAGTCTTCGTGAAGTCGGCCATTGCTTCGCATGCAATGGAGAACCCGCGTAGAACACAGACCAATTATTTTTATCAGGGAGGCGAGTCTCTTGGTATTAAAGAAAAAATTATTTGTTATTTCATTTTTAAGATAAAATTCTATTTCTATAACGATAAATATTTGATTGACATTTAAAAGCTATTTTATAAAGATTTGCAATTTCTCTTTGCGTTTTAGCTTTGATTTTTCGGATAGAATAAAATAACTGGGTCGAGTTTTGCTGTGCAAATTCCTCCCGTCGGGGGGTTATGTTTACAACATAAGCTTGTCAGCTTTGCGCTGATTGGCTAGTCGCATTTTCTTAAATCACCCAGAGTATTTTATGAAGGAATATTCCTTTTGATGAATTAGGTGTATTTGCGCATCCGGTAACCACACAAAGTGTAGGCATTTTAGTAATGTTTACAGCTAAATTGCAATGTTGATCAATATCGTTCTTGCTGTGACGTCACAAGTCTTCTCGGTCCCAGTTTTTTTATCCCGGCCAAATCGTTTGGGCGTGTCCGGAAGGCCGACTTTGAAGCGCTTTATCTCAAAGAATATTTATCCAATAAAGACAATCAAAATAATCAATAATCCCCAAAGGGTTTATAGGGACTTTAACTGATTTCTTTGCTTAAAATCCTTTGTTTTCAAATTACGATTAATCCGAAGCAGAAGTAATAATAAACTAGACCCTCTTAGAGCGTGAAGTCGGGCTAGCTATTTTTTAAATTAAGAAAGACAGGATATTACATGGGTGCACGTATAGGCGWACGAGTAAAAGGTTTTAGACACGATAAGATTATGATGTAATATTCTGTCTGTTATATGACAATACATGAATGTAAATTATAGTATAGAATATTTGTTTACTTCCAACACATAGTGAAATCAAGGATGCGTTACTTTCACTGTTCTTTTATATTAAGTGGAASTCCACACCCGAGACAATTCTATTTCAAAATCATAATCTGATTAAGAAAAAAATAAATTGCCAAAATTTGGTTTCCAAGCAATAAATAGTTTCCGAGAAATTTAATYCAAAATAAGCGAAAAATCGCATCAGAGCAGTTTGTAGCGATGGTTCAGAAATCAATGAGCGGTTTTACCCTTTGGGCTTACGTGACGTCGTCGTGTGAAGGTTTCTACGTAACGACAGACATAAACATATAGACATTGATCGAACTTTGAAAACTAATAGTATTGACTTATTCTGAAGCGACAAAAAAATCTAAAATACCTCACTGCACTGGTTCCTGGCTGTTCAAATCATTCTAGAACAGGTCATATCCMTTTCAAGCTTTTATCGAGTGCCAGCTGACGAGAAATTGAGGAAGACATGGCTGAATGCAATACTACGAAAGAACCCTCGCCCAGTGTTGTATTCCTACGTTTGTTCCACTCACTTCTCCGATAATTGCTTCGAGAYAAATTACATGGAACAGTTGACTGGACATAAGAAACCCCGTCGATTAAAACCAGGTTCCATTCCAAGCATTTCTCCGAGAACGCCGGCGGTCAAACCACGAACTTCCAGCGAAGCCAGATTTTAGGCGATTTTGGCAAAAAAATGTTATAAAAGCTCAGTAAATTTTCAGCGGTATCGGGCGGCTTCAGGCGATTTTCAGCTTTAGCTGACTTTCAGCGATTTAATGGGTTGAATGACTCAACTAAGGAGATATGATAACATGGTACGGTACTAGGTACTAGAACAAAATACTTATTGCAACAATGACAAAGCTAATTTAATGATTTTCAATAGAATGCAACTGTTCCTAGTTAATGATATTATTTAAGAAATATTGCCGATTTGAATATAAAAACCTATATGTGAAACAGATTAATATTAGACAAGGGACATATTTGGRTTTAGGGAAAAAATACAATATGTACAATGCTTATACAATCTAAATCTAATTGCACAAAAGTGTGATAGAGATATACATATGATATAACTATGATATGGCATATGATGGAGCACACAGATATGTATGTTATCTTCTAGTACTCAATTTTTGTCTCATAAGTGCATGAAGTAGAGCTTGATATCGTTATTGAACATGATTAGATCTTAAAGAGATTTTCAACACGAGAAGATAAAATTCGTATCTCCAAGCGATCATGTAATATTCTGTTTATCATATAATTACATATGAAAGCAAATTATGTCTTAAAATGCCCTTTTTCTTGCTTTTACTATATAGAGAAACCTCGAATGTGTTATTTTCAGTGAAAATATCAATTTTACGAAATGGAGAAATATAGGTATTTCATAGATAATTATATGATAAATACATATCTCAAGGTACCCATCTAATTTTGATTATCATATAAACTGATATCTGTACTGCAAAAAAATAAAATTTGTAGGTAGTATAAATGTTAGAATGATAATTTCACCTTTGAAATACACATTATTTGGGTTTACCTCGGTGTAAAAACCTCAYGACTGATGTCACAAAAACGAAGCTCTTCATTTAATTACATGGATACTGGATACGTGGTACTAATTAATATTCATGATACTCCTGAACTCTTTCAAAGTTTCTCYAGGAAGTGGATACGCGGATACGCGACGTCATTAATATTCACTATTCAAAGTATCTTCAGGAAGTGGATACGCGAATACGCGACCTCATTAATATTCATATTCCAAGTTTCTTTAGGAGGTGGATACGTGGATACGCGGATACACAACCTCATTAATATCATGTCCTGTTCAAAGTTTCTTCAGTTTCTTCGACCGCATTAATATTCCTGAGCTAGTCAAAGTTTCTTTTTAACAATAATCTTATACCTTTACATCTTTTACAAATTGATACTAGGATACTAATTAGATTCGAATAGCCAGTTCTTTAAACATAATGCATACGGACTGGCGGATGAATAGCCAATGATCATGATTAGGGTTTTTTTCGCATTTGCCGGGCAGGAAAACGTGTTTCAAAATATAGACCGTCACAAATTTGTTACTGAACAAATGAAAATAAATGTAGATGAGTTTCAAAATGAATAAATAAATAAATAGTCTTAATGCTTAGTTCTACTGATGACTTGAGTTCTTGGTTGTGTTGCTGGTTGTGACTTGCGCGTTGTAGATTACACTGGAAGTTAAGCATTTGTTGTCTAGCGGGCATTGGTCTTTATTGCGGCAGTTGCATTGTTCTCATTGATGGATAGGTAGAAGTTTTCAATGTCAAATACGGCGAAGGTATGTTGATCTGGAAGCCGTTGATCTTTGTGTTGAATAGATGAGAACCAGTTAATGACACCTCTACAGCGTATTGTATTCACACGTATTCACACCTACGCAGTTTTAATTAATAGTATACTCTCCTTTGTAATTTTTACCTTCACACCTATTGTTTCTAGCATAACTATCACGTATTGTATGTAAATAGCCTAGCACTTAGCCTTTTGTTTTATACCATGTATATATATCTAGATTATAGGAATGTTTATCATTAAATACTGTCTGATGAGTGCGTAGCACGAAACTCGGAGTTACAGCAAAATCTTGCCTCTTTGATATCATATATATAACTAGCTCTACACTTTGTGTATTGAGCACTCTTTAATGCGATCAGCCACTTCCTCATACGATATGTATTTATTTATTTTTTTCTGTTTCTGTGGTACTTTCAGCTGATATAATATAATTGTTAGGTGGATGGAGTTTTGAAGGTTGCTTGCAGGAGCAGTAGCTTTCATGTCCTTCCTTTATTTGTATTAATTATTTATTCGTATTAGATTTAGTAATTTCCTTCTTTGGTGTTGTTCATCTGGCTTTGGTTTTGTAGTTTAGCTTTTAGGTCCTAGCCCACGTGCAAGCTCTTTTAGTGCGCGTGTTTTTTGGCTGCGCGCGCTATAGAGCGCGCGCGTTTTGTTGTTTTCCGTTAGTCGCGTTT